TTAAAAAACATAGATAAACATCGATTTTTGTGTGTCAAGTGATATGTTGAATGCAGCACTGGTTCAAATTAGATGTTTGATGTTAAAATACTAAGTCTATAGTTCTGAACGAATTATAAACTCAAATTACCGATATTGACAAGCTAGAATATAAAATAAGAGCCTCTTGTCTTTTCAGTTTGCTAAGATATTGCTCATGTAATAAAACAAACACAGTGGCACCCCACCCACCTCTTTTCATTTGTAGAAATGCTCCCTTATATACACTTACTTCCACATATGACATGAATAACCAATCGGAAGCTTGGAATGTCCCCATAGTGGCTTTCTCAGCCATTTTAACGGACTTGGCACCATTTCTTTCTTTTCAACCAAGATTTCAATGAGGTAGGATGTGTCTTTAGTCTGCTTGAAATTTCATATTTTGTTAGAGTGAAATACATCTTAGTTACTAAACTTGATAAATTACAGTGGAATTCTATGGTATTAATCTAATATTTTATGAGTTTTTAGTTATTCAAATGTATATATAAAACCTAAAAAAAAATATTTTGTTTCATATTCTTCACGTGCAAAATTTTTAAAGGCTTAGCAACCTACGTAAAGCAGCAACCAAGTACAAAGGTCATAACTAGAAAAGATAATTGTTTGCTTTTCTTCTTTAATTACTGTTCTATGTTTTAGGAAAAACATGTTTAAGAACTTATTTCAAAATAGCAATAATCTATATACATATATAATGTATAATAATTGAAATGTAACTGTATTTTACAAAATACTAGTCTTCTAAAACACAGCCAAGACAAGTTACTTTGCACAGACCAAAGGTCAGTTTTATGTTATTTCATATGGTAACATGAGTGCACATGAGCTGCATCATTGTAAGTTCTGTATTGTTAGCCAGGCATGGCTGAAAGGTCAATATAATAAAAATAATAAATATTTTTAAATGTATAATGTTATGAGATTTAAGCTATTTAGTCTATAAAACATGTTTTCGTGTTATAATGTGTTCATTCTAGAATGGAAGAGGCATAATTTATATTTATTTCCTAATTTTTATGGTGGTTGCAAGATCGGTCAAATCCACCAAACCTGTACAGAGATTAATTACTGAAAATAACAGATAAATTATAGTTTTTTCTTAATAAACATTTGATAACTATCTCGACATTATAAAGATTTTGCATGTGAATTTTCAAAATGTTCTAATCCATAAAAGTATTTTAATCTTAAAATTATTATTACTTTGCATGATAGATAGGCAACATGCAAAAAGAAAAAATAGACATGAGAAAAACATTACTTTTTAAATCTTAAGACGAAATAAAAAAATTGATATTTTGTGTATAAAAGCATTGCAATGATTACTGATAATCTGCTAAATTTCGTTAACATTCGCTTACTAATTTAAAAGTTATAGCATGAAAACTATAAAAAGCACAAAATTGTTATGAGGTCGGTCCCAGGGACTGAGTCTGTGCTGAAAGAGTTGACAAACCATATAATAAGTGCATCAAATGGCCACATCCAGGTTTCAAAGAGTGAAAGTACTGACTGAGTAAGCTCTTTGTATATTGTAACTAAATACCTAAGCATAAAAATATTTTCTCAGTATAGAAAGTAATTATATTAAAATAATAATAAAATTTGTACATTGCAGTGTTCTTAAGTTTTTAGTCTTCTCTTAAACACACACTATTAGTGTATAAAATCAGAAAACCAATCGTGCCTCAATATTAATATCAGACTTCAGAAAAGTGGATGGTAGATTATTAGTGAAAAAAATGCTTGACATTTTAATAACTTGGTGATTCATTTGTTTTTTGATAAATTAATGCAACACTAGATTTCCAAAAGCAGATAGATAATTCAAATATACTTTTACACATGAAATGTGCTGAAACTGACAAGTGAATGCTTCTCCTTACAAACATACATTGCTGAAGCTTAGCTAGGAACAGCAAAACATCCCCCAGTGGGACAGTGGCAAGTCTACGGATTTACAAATAACCAAATCAACCAGCAAAACACTACTTTTTTTTTTAAATAGTAAAGTAATGAGTTCTCTTAATTGTTTGATGGGGGCCACCATTTTGTGCACCCTTAACAAGGTTACAAAGAACACAAATGCCCATTGGTGAAAATGTATACGCGCAATATGCCCGTAAACAGTGAAAATGCATATTTTTTACACACTTCATAATGTGATGCTGCTTCTTGGAAAACATGGCCACTAAAATAAGTTGGAGTATTTTGCATGACCTTGTAACATCATATCACTGTGAAAACTATACATACTATAACTGATTATACTTAATGTACTTCACAAAATTTAGTAAGCTTTTAGTGTTCACAAGCAATCAGGACTTTTAATAAGGTATTTCTACTAAATATTTGTCTCTGAATTGACTTTAATCAATCTGACTCAGACTCTAACTAGTCTGAATGCAAGGCGATTTTCATGTTAAAATTGAAAATACTTTTTTCTTCTTACACTTTTCAGGTTTCATTTGCATAACCTTTGGCTACTGACAAATCTTAACTCAACTTTCTTGTAATGATGGTAGTAGCTCATAAATAATTTTTACTTATTTCAAATATCACTTAAGAACAAAAAAATAATAACATGCACAAAGCATATAACTGGCTTTCTAACTAAAGTATAAGTGCCTTAAAATAGTTCCCTTAACTGGTCGAGCTGAACTTGATGATAGCAACTTTCAACTTGTTGGCGAAATAATTTAAAAGCTGGTGTATGACGCTAGCTTATATTTCTGTTGGTTATAAATAATGCAATAGTAAACATCAGAGAGAATTAATGACATTTTATGAAAGACAGGATGTGATAGGAGGACATGGCAAGTAGGTTTGACTTTCTCCTTTATATCTGTAAAAAAAGAAGTTTGGAGGATATAAGGGTAGACGATGCCTTAGTAATATTTATACTATAAATGTGCAGTTTATGATAACCTCAGAATTTTATATAGGAGTGAGGGAAAAAATAGAAAATAGGCAAGTCAGAGTGAACAAGTGTCATATGATACAGACAGGTGAAGATTGGAATTTACTTAAATATTTTGACATTAAGATATTAAAACTTGTATAATAATAAAATTTCAATTATAAACTATGTTTTGATGCCAAGTTTATTGATATGCATTGATAATAAATGAGTTTAAATGTTGAAGTTAACTCTGTAAAAGGTTGTGACATGCACTCTTTGACCTACTTGTACTCAGAGGGTTAATAAAACAAATACATATGTAGATTCTATTGTCTGAATCCAATTTTCACTTGTTTTGGTCTGTCTGACAACCATTAATGTCAAGGCCTGACAAATTCCCATGTCTTAGATATAAAAAAAGCCTTGATTAATAACATTTTCTGCCATTGACATAGCTGAGGTAACTGATAGAAACTAGTAATCAGCTGGTTAGAAGTAATGTTTTCTATTACAGTGTAATATTTAATATGTGTTTATTAAAGTTTTTAATCTAGGTTTTTGGTTTCTTTTTCTAAAGACGTGTTTCACTCTGAGCCTTAGTAATGATGCAAACCTCTGTAGGCTGATTGGAGTTTGGCATAAATACAGTTTATTACATCTTATATCTAATATTTATACTGTTAGACCATGGTAAAGAATCAGATGTTTTCATTCCAAACTCTGGTTAGCCCACTGTACATTTAATATGCCATCATGAAAGGAATCTTCTTTTAAGGAAACTGTAAATAATTCATTGATTGAAAACTGCAGTGCTAGGAAGATATTACTTGGATAGCGTTTGCAGAGGTCAGCCAGTCAAAACTAATTTTAAGAATAAATTTTTTTGGCCTTAATCTAAACATGTTGTAAAAAATTGCTAAGAAAATTTACAATAAGTTGTAAATTTTGTTGTGTTTTTTTCGATTTTGTTTTTAAATAATTAGTAACAAAAATTATAGTCACATATCAAGTCTTCAAATTGTCAATGTTGTGTATTTATGAATGTAAAACAGTCAATCTTCAATGTTCATCATTTTCATGGAGGTGTATTTAAGCTTTTGGATTATTTTTATAACTACAAACATATAAGGAAACTAATAAGATAAATTTATCAACATTCATTTGTAAATGGTTACTGCATACAACTGACTAGTTGAAGTTTGCATGCAGTTTATGTCTTGAATATGGAATGGAGAGTTTGAATGGTTAAAAACTGTTTAGTGTTTTCCTTATACCATGATTGTTTTTAATAATATAACATGAATATTAATAGAATAAATACACATGAGTATAGTTTTCTTTTTGTAACTTTAAATATTAATCTTCTTCAGGCTATCTGTTAACAAGAAAAGAAGGTCTTGTTGGAACTCCAGAGAAACCTCTATCAGATTTGGGCCAAGTCAGTTACAACTCGTATTGGAAAAGTGTCATCCTTGAGTACTTGTACACACACAGGGAGAAGCAACTAAAAATAGAGGGTAATTACTTCATTTTTTTAAAGCATTTGTATATGTAAAATAATGTGTAACAGTGCAGTGGTGTAGCAAGGGTTCTCAGCACCCAGGGGCAAAGGCACTTTTGGTGCCCCCACCTCTGAAATGCTTTGATTATTTGTTTTGTGACTCATTACTCACTTAATGACAATAACGTAAAGGATTAATTACCGCCTAAAATAAAGTCATAATGTAACATCTCATAATATCACAACTGCAAACCTGGAACTAATGAAGTATAGCCTACTAGATGTACTTACATAATTTTTAAACGATTTTGATATTTTTGTCATCCAGTATTGTTCAAAGTCGCATAGCTAGAGTAATCCTTCAAGCATGCAGAATAAATTTCTGTTATATCCCTAGTTTTGAAACTTATGTTTTGTATGAGAAGACAGTCACTTGTGTGGGGTACATGGATTATAAAACAAGATTGATAAAATACTACTTAAGTTTACAAATATAACAAATATTATTAGTTTACAAAACTGGACATATACTTAACTAGATCTTGTACAGGTAGCATTATGGTATTCATGGTTATATTATATGAACCTTTCATGCTTTTGCTGCTGCAAATGCATCAATTAAACTTTCAAAGTTTAAGGTATTAAGTACATCTTTTTCAATACTTAATATTGCCCAGTTACTAAGTCATTCTTGAGTCATTGAGGTTCTCGTGTATGTAAGAATTAATTTTAACTTGCTGAAAGACCTTTCACAACTAGCAATAGAAACCTCCAAATGTTAACAACATCTGCAATGCAATTCTTAAATTTGGAAACCATTTTCACCATATGAAATTACAAATGTTAGCAAATCAGTTGCAACCATTGGTTCAGGAAAATCGGTCTGTGTTCTTTTACTTATCAACATTCTACAGTCTTTAATTTCTCTGTACAGTTCTGATCCATCAATATCACCTGGATAGCTCTTTGCTAAGTCAGAGCATTTTGCACATATAGTAAAATCTAAATCTAGTAAGCGAGAAAATTTTCCTGTTATTTCTGTAATCAAGCGATCAATAACATCC